GGTTTTTCTCAGTTTCATGTTTTAGATGGTTATTTTGTTTGTCCTATTGATACCTGGGTTATAGGAAAAGAACATGCTATTGCTGTATGAAGCTTTCATGCATCATCCATGCTAGTAACACAATCCTAACGAACTGAAAAGGTTGCCTATAATATGAGTCTTATTTTTCCTTCTCTTTTTTGTGGCAGCGGAAACATTATCCAGAATTTTGGTATTGAAGTCGATACTAATATGACACCTGTGAAAGGACGTGTGATTGGACCTCCGGTTTTGAAGTTGGCTGCTCCTAAAACTGGCAAATTGATGAAAATAACAGTTGACAAACAAACATGCCAGTGGAACCTGGTTGGAAAGGCTGTTGTGGAAGGAAAAGCAATTCAGTGCTGGGGTGTAATTGACTTCACCCTTTATGAACGAGATCGAGCCAGACTGAATGGTCGTACATTCATTCCGAAGCTGATAGATAGGTGCAGGAATCTTGGGATGAGATTGGAGGAACCTCTCTTGTATGAAAAGGCTGGAATGCAAATATTTTCCGATGTTAGTGCACTTGGTCAACTGCTTGAAGGAGTTACTAGTCAAGTAGGTAGAGGAAATTTACAGTTTCTTCTTTGTGTGATGTCGAGGAAGGATGACGGCTACAAATGTCTCAAGTGGATCTCCGAGACGAAAATTGGTGTGGTGACTCAGTGTTGTCTGTCCAACCATGCTAACAGAGGGCAGGACCAGTACCTTGCTAATCTTGCCCTAAAAATCAATGCCAAGCTCGGGGGCAGCAACGTGGAGCTGAATGACCGGCTTCCCCACTTCCATGGTGAAGGTCATGTTATGTTTGTTGGAGCAGATGTTAATCATCCTGGCGCTCATAATAAGACTAGCCCATCTATAGCAGCTGTTGTAGCTACAATGAACTGGCCTAAAGCTAATCGTTATGCAGCAAGGGTTCGCCCTCAGTTTCATCGCAAAGAACAGATCCTTGAGTTCGGTGAAATGTGTTTGGAACTTGTTGAATCTTATGGTCGTCTAAATAATGTCAAACCAGAAAAAATTGTGATCTTCCGTGATGGAGTTAGTGAGGGTCAGTTTGATATGGTTCTTAATGAAGAGTTAATGGATATCAAGAATGTTTTCCAGAAAAACGATTACTTTCCTACAATCACCGTTATTGTTGCTCAGAAGCGTCACCAAACTCGTTTCTTCCCAGTGGGAAAAAAGGACGGTGGTCCTAACGGAAATATTTCACCAGGTACGGTAGTTGACACTACAATTGTGCACCCTTTCGAGTTCGACTTCTATCTCTGTAGTCACCACGGAAGCCTCGGTACTAGCAAGCCTACGCACTACCATGTCTTGTGGGATGAGCATGGGTTCTCCTCCGACCAGTTGCAGAAGCTTATTTACAACATGTGCTTTACATTTGCGAGGTGTACAAAACCGGTATCTCTGGTACCGCCTGTGTACTATGCCGACCTCGTTGCTTATAGGGGACGGCTGTACTATCAGGCAATGATAGAAAGACAGTCTCCTCCAACATCATCAACCTCATCTTCATCATTAATATCATCATCATCAATGTCATCGGCAGCTTCGTTCCAGGACTGGTTTAAGCTGCATGCGGACCTGGAAAACATGATGTTCTTTGTTTGAAGAATGGCCGAACTTCATCTGAAGACGAAAACGCCCTGAACGCTGGTTTACTCCTTTCCTAAGTTCTCCTAGTGAAGGGGTTTGTGCGTGAATCTAATGCGTATGAAGGCTTTTTCTAGCATTTCCTCTTTTACATTGTTGCTTTATGCATGCAATGAGTTTGAGGGAACTGAATGCTTTGTTTGTTCTTGTTTTGTCTTCTTCTTTTTTTATAAAAAAAAACTTTGTTGTGAACTCGGTTGTGTTTGTATCTTATGTTATTTCGACTCTTTGACTTCATTGAGAAATACAAGCTGGTTTTCTTATTATTGTTTAGGAACAAAGAATAAAATTACGGTATAAAATTATATTATCAGTGACGGCAAGCATTAATTTGGACAGTCATGGAAAATAGAAAACCTTGTTTATTCGTTAGCCTATTAGCATGAATTTGGACACGAATTAAATGACATTGGTAGTTAAAAGAATGATTATTATTTTTAGAGATTCTCGGTTCGAATGTAATGTTTGTAAGGGTGTTTGAATGATGTCAATTAGTTTAAAGTCTTTCAAACATATACTATCTTATAATAATTTATTCATCCATTGCCTTTATAAGAAATGCAGTTTCCATAGCTGACACTTTGCACTGAAGATATCTATTTTCCTCTACTATATCTGTCATTAGATTAAGTAGTATGGGATGTTTAGGGTCATAGATTGTTTGTTCCCGAACTCGAGCGACCCATTTTGCCGCTTCCCATACCCCAAACCTGAAAAATGTTAAATAGAAAGGCATCAATGCCTACTTCAACACGCGGATAACTTTTTTAGTGAGAGAAGCTCCAGCTTCTCTCTAACCTAGGCGTTTTCAAATTTCAAACTTCCTTGAGCTATGGCAAGTAGGGTGAAAAGATTTGTTGGGAAAAATTGTGTTACGATGATCATTTTCAATATTCCAGAGTTTCTTCATCATCAAGGTCTTTGGCTAATATTCGACAAATATGGCGAGGTGGTTGATTCTTTCATCCCTAACAAAAAAAGCAAGGGTAGAAGTAGGTTTGGCTTTGTTCGCTTCACCAGATTGGAGGACGCAAGGAAGGCTATCAACTGTGCTGATAGATCTAGGATTCAAGGTAATGAAGTTAGAGTTTTCATGGCGAGATTTCAACCTCGTGAAGCTTTTTGGAGAAAGAAGTTCTCTGGTCCAAAACCAGCCGAGGCCAAGAGTAAAGGGGAGGAGGATAGTCATTCAGAGGCTCCCATTGTCGGTTTTGTTGATGAGGATAAGCTCTTAACTCTCAGAGATAGCTCGGTAGGTTGGTGCAGAAGTTTTATAAAAATGAAAGAGTTGGCTGCTATTATGCATAAGGAAGGCATATTAGGTCCAAAAATTATGAGATTAAACGGGTTAGCAATTTTAATCATTTTTGAAGATGAAGAGAGTAGGGATTATACTCTAAAGAATCAGATTGGGGCGTTGAATAAATGCTTTGACAAAGTGGAAGTGTGGTCGAAAAATTTTCAGTGCCACAGCCGTCAGGCATGGCTTTCGTGCAAAGGGATCCCACCGTTTGTGTGGAGTCATTCCACCTTCATAAATATTGCAGACAAATGGGGAGTTCTTATCTCCATTGAGGAAGGAACTTTAAATCCCGGCTCGTTTGATAGGGCTTTGATTCAGATTATTACGAATTGCCAAGCTCAAGTGGAAGAAACCATTGATTTGAAAGTAGGGGAATGGATCTTTACAGTTTATGTTTATGAGTTTGATCCTTATTTCAGTTCAGAATCTGTCTGGGTAGATTCGTTTTTTATGGACAAGACACTTGCCTCCCCGTTATCCACGGTGGGGGAGCTCGTCGGTGTCTCGCCAGTAAAGTCTCCAGAGATGGAGGTACGTGCTGAGGAAGCAGGAAGAAGCGTGGACTCATCGGAGGAGAAGAATTCCGAGAGGTGTTTTGAGGAAGAAGACAGTCTATTATGGTGTATGGGGAACAGAATTAGAGGCAGCAACTTGTCGGGTGAGGAAGAAGAGGTAAGGACATAGGGGAGGAATTAATTATGGGTCTGAGGAATGTTGTTGTTGGTCAGGGGATGGTTCAAACGAATTTCGAGGAAGCGGTGGAACACGACAATGAGCTGGATCACGCGGAGAGAGGTAGAAGATGACAACATGATAAGTTGTAAGTCTACACGTGCAAATGAGGGAATGAAGGATTATTTAATTGATTTGCCCATCTTGGATGGTCGATTAAAGTCAAAGGTGGTGGAGGATGTGATTAATATAGGCCTTATGGATAATTGTGCTATCAGAAGATCCAAGGGTGAGGAAATCCAACAGGATGGGGTTGTGGTAGATCGGGTGGATGGAATAACCAATTCGGGGAATGTATGTGAGGATTTAGAACAGAGCCTTTGCCTGTCAACACAATTGAGGGACGATTCTTTCACGCACAAGTCCAGGCAGAACCAGAGAGCAAAGGAGGGGAAAAACAATAAATATAGCTCTATCCATACATTTCAAGAGAAATATTCGGCTCCCCAAAGAAAGAATAGTTACTGTCGAAGCAAGTATAATCAGAAGAAGGTGCGACGCGAGGAAGATTTGTCTGAACTTGAAGGCAGATCCCTATATGATTCTGACTTTCCAGCATTGGGGCAAAGACAAAAGAAGAAAGCGAATGGTTCCTTACAGATCGGGATAGATTTGGGTATGGAGTCTAAAGGCTCAAAAGTGGTTTTGATTTCGGAAAATTATTACAGTGGAAGTTCCTGAAGGCGATTCTCTAATGATTATTGATATTGGTGTTGGAGGTTCGGTTGGTCTCCGTCAACAAGACGAGTTATAAGTGGCAGAAAGGTGGATAGAGTGTTTTCGAAGATTGCTATTCTGTACTCTTATCATGTGGAAGCTCTTGGATTTTGTGTTAGAATTTGGCGTCTATGGATTGAGTCAGCTAATATATTTGGCTTCTAATGTAGTTGTTTTGCTTTGTGGTGTCTTTCAGGCCAAGTTTAGGCTTTTAGTCTGGTAAGTCTTATTTGAGGTTGTTGTTGTAGCTAAGGTGGATTAGGCTGAGTTAGTGTTGTTGTTTTCGGTTGTTTTTGGTGTTCTGTTTTATTTTGGGGTGGCTCTCTGGATGTTTCTTGTATTTTCTTATGTTTAATGAAATCTTAAGGCACTCTTTTCCTCCTTCCGCTGATTAAGGAGCTTCCCTACAAGCTCCTTTAATCAAGGAGGTGGTTTTTAACGAGGCCTTCAATTCCTATAAAAAAATAATATCTTATAATCATCTCAGACTAATAAGAAAACATGAATTTGAATTCTATACTACCATCATAATAGGTAAAAGAGATGTAAAGAAGCCGGAAAGTCAAAACAAACAAGGGCATATATTTATTTGAACATGCAGATTGTACTTATGGATGTGAAACATAGCATTACCACACTTTTGATTACATGAAAACCAATCTCCAACTTAATAAACGGGTTGACATCAATGCCTCTAGACAACATGCATGTACAGCTCGGAATGAATAGTACAGAGTAAAGGAAAGATAAAACCTCATTGCAAAGCCAGAGAGCATTATAGGAGCTATTTAGAAGATACAAGAGGGGATCGAAAACCATCGCCTATGAGCAACAAGATCCACTTCCGGCCCGTTCTGCAGGCCTATCCATGAGAACCATTCCAGCAGGATTCTGCGCTGGCTGCACTCGGGGTAATCTTTTAGCTGCATGAAATAAAACACAAGTCAATTGCCCCTTCATACAACAAGTACTACGTGCTTTTCAGAAACTTAACAAGACAACATAGGCATAATAATAAAATTATCTCCAACATTTACGCAAATGTTTGCTTTGGCCCCTATTTGTTTTTTTGAAGCATTTTAGATTCAACATTTCGATTTTTGGTGAAAATACCCCATGCTACCATGCTAGAAGGAAACCGTTAGTTTACAAACGGTTAACATATGTTGCTGACGTGACATTTTCATATATACTTAATTGCTATTGTTGATATGCCAAATGTCACGTCATCACTTTGAGTGATGCGACATATGTCATGTTATCATTTTGGGTGACACAACACATGTCAAGTTTATCACTTTGGGTAACATGACACATCACCACTTTGGGTGACACGACACATGCCAAGTCTATCACTTTGGGTAGCATGGCACATGTCGCATCAACAATTAAGTACATGTGAAAGTGACACATAAGCAACATGTTTTGACTGACAGTTAACTAACGATTTCCTTCCAACAATGATATTTTGACCAAAAATTGAAACATTGAGGTCTAAAATGCTTCAAAAAAGAGAATAAGAGCTTAAGTGACCATTTGTGGAAACGTTGGGGGGTAATTTTGTCATTATGCCGACAACATATAAAGCACCTATTTCATAGAAAATTTCATTGACATTGGATGCGGTCTTTGCAGAGGTTTCCATGAAGAAGAGACCATTCTCCTGAGCATAAGTTTGTGCCTCCTGAATCACCAAAAAGAATAAGAAGTCAAATAGGGATTTGATTGTAGGCTGAAGTAAAAAAAAATGGACCACAAATCTATTTGACCAATTGACCTTTTACCATCTCAAAGATAGTTGTTTTGAAATGCGAAAAATTTAAAGTAGAGAAACCTAGAATGCTCATAATAAATGATTACAAGTAATAATAAGAAGTGACGTGAACAAAAAAACTAATAACTTGCCTCTGGTTCCACCTTCCTTGCATCTAGTAAATCAGCTTTGTTCCCAGCAAGTGCCGTTACCATGTTAGGATTGCCTTCACATGAAAAGGAAAAGAACAAAAAACATAAACTTGGAGTTCAATCACTCAAGAGTCCTTAAAATTAAACATTTCTCAAGGGCAAAAACAGGATACATTGACAGCCAACAAGGAAGTTGTCAAGGAATAGAAAAGGCAAAATGCTACCTTGGGCTTGAAGTTCTTGGACCCATTTTTTGGCTCTCTCAAACGATGCCTACAAAATAAGAAAGAATGCTATCACACGTCTCTACTAAAATTCACCAGATTTACTGTATCACATTTCAAACTGAAACAAAAGTTCACCAAGTATCCTTGCAAATGTAAACTTTAATGCGTTGGCAAATTGTAAAAAATGCCTCAAATATAAACCCCTTTCACTCCCCACCCCCGTTCCTTAAGGGGGGAAGAACAAGCAACTTTACATACAAAAGGGGAAAATTATCAAACAAAATAATTAAAAAGGAAAGGAGAGCAGAAATCTAAAGAAAACCTTAACACCTTAGCTTTCCTTCAACTAACAACCATCAGACTTGAGATTCCTTGAAACAAATCGTAACATGTAGTAAACGTGATTTTTGGAGAAGATACCAACAATAGTGATCAAGGCATAAACCATACAAAAATCACAATATTAGATTCATAGAAAGCTTGCCCTCATACCAGTAATGTTTAGGTTCCGTCTGGTTAGCACTTTTCACATTCTTTTGATAAAAAGTGAAAACCAATGAATGCAAAAGAACATAAAAACAGAGGCAAATAGCATAAAGCAAAACCAACAAAAAAACAGAACCTTTGGAAATCGAACAGTGTATAACCTAGATACCATGACCCCAAAATTTTAAAACTTCATCTCACATTACATTTAGAGCAACAGTCAGTCAGTCGTGGTTCAGTGACCAAACCACACAAAGAAAACACTTACTTGATTTGTCGTATCATACACAATGATCGCGGCTGCAGCTCCTCGGTAGTACATCGGTGCTAAGCTATGGTACCTCTCTTGACCAGCTGTATCCCAAATCTCAAACTTTACATTCGCATCATTCACAGCCAACGTCTGGGAAAAGAAAGATGCACCTATTGTTGATTCCTACATGATAATAAGAATATAAATGCCAAATTATAATTCTCCTACTGATTTTTTTAGATAGTGTAAACCAAATAACAATAACAACCTGAAATTCAACAAATTGCCCTTTAACAAAGCGCAACACAAGGCTAGACTTCCCAGCTCCAACATCCCCAAGTAGAACCTGAAGAATAAAATACATATCAATAACAATAACAAATGCATGCAACAAAAACACCAGTTCAAAGCTCAAACTGAAGACACAACTTAACTTTCTGGTATAGTAAACAAAATGGTTAGAGACAATTATCATTTGAAGCTCATGAAATGAAACAACATATAAGATATCAACATAGTATCCACAGTATAAAAAAAATACCAGAGAAATTAGGCATAAACTTTAAGCATATTGTCGCAAATCTGACAGGATCAAGATTTTAACAAAACCTCTAAAAGATTTGGAAATGATAAAAAGAGACCCTAAGCTTTATAAATGTAAAAAAGAGAGGTAATTCCAAAATTGAGGCGATATTTAAGTAGTGCTCAAGCCTAAATCAGCTGCATATTAAGATGTCAAAGAAAAAATAACCTCTAGCATTTGATCATAACAAACCAAGAAAAAAATCTTGCAAACATAAACCAAACCCATATCACAGCTCATGTAAAAAAAATCATGCATGATCAACAATTCATCATCTAAATCAGACCCAAAGCACCAAATACTAAAAATAACCAAAAAAAAACTTGGATAACCAAAGGAAGGGTTTAAGATCAACAGAGATAGACTGACTAATTTAGCATTGATGTTCTTGTTTCCCGTGGTGGCCATGAGAATGAAATCCTCTAGGAATCAGATTAATGTTCCCCCAAAAAAAAAAGATAAAAAAAATTATGGGGTAATAGAGAAGATTGAGAATTGAGGCTTGTTGGATACGTTGACGAACACGAAAAAAGGAATTGAGAAGCAAGATGGGATGTTAAATACAAAGGGTAAAATCAAAGGAAAAAGAAAGATACTCCTAAAGAAAAATTATTTCTCTCTCTTACGAATCACTCTTCAACCCAAACAAGACAGCGGTTGCATATTTCATTATTATTAGGTTAAATACGTGTATAGTCACTAAATTATAAGATTTATTCTATTATGATTACTGAACTGTACGTTTTTCCAATTATGTCATTGAACTATTAAAACTATTTCAATGAAACCAAATTGTTAACAAACATACTGATACATAAATTAAATAAATTTATATAATCATTCATCAGTTTCTTTATTGATTGTATGTGAGAAATTTATTCATAATTTTTAAAGTAGTGATTAAATGGTTTTAGCTAACACCTTCCATCCTCATAAGTAGTAGATTTAATACTTATTAAAAGAAAAATATTATAAATATATTAATAAATATATTTTCAGTATTTTAATAATCATTTTTAAACAATGATAATGATAATATATTATTATATTAATATTGAATAAATAAGATATTTTTACTTATTATTAAAATTTTTTGTAATATTATTTATAAAATATTATAAGAATTATACGAACTAAACGATTTGGTTAAGAGATTTGTTATTATCCCTTGAGGTTCTGGGATTGAACACCGCGTATGCAAGGATATAAGCATTCATTACTAAATAATTGAAAGTTTTTAAACGTATACTACCCTTGTATTCGTCCCAGATTTATTAAGAAAATATTATAAAAATTCACTAATGTCACCTTGCTACACTTTATTATAGCAATTTAATCCTTTATTACATATTTATATATGTATATATTTGCTTCAAGTGTTTTTTATAGAGAAAATAACCTCAGTGACCGAAAATGCCTTATAATATACGAATTTAACCAAATTTTTTTTGATTTGCCAAAATGACCAACAAATTCGTAACGCGAACTCCAATTTCGTAACCCAGTTTCTAATTTTGCAACGTGAATCTGTAAATCGCAACGCGAATTTGTAAATCGCAATGCGATAGTCAAATTCGCAACGCGATAGTCAAATTCGTAACACAAAAGTCAAATTCGCAACGCGAATTTAATTTCACAATAGGTTTTAGTTTCGCAACACAAATGTTTTGGGTATATAACAACGCAGCAGCGCAACGCGATAGTCAAATTCGTAACACAAAAGTCAAATTCGCAACAGGTTTTAGTTTCGCAACACAAATGTTTTGGGTATATAACAACGCAGAAACAATAACTCATAACCTAAATCTCGAAATCATAACTCAGTCCATCTCCATCTATCATTCTCTCCGGCGACATTCGTTCCTATATCCAACGACATCCTTCCACATCTCTAATTTTTTTTATATAATTTTATTTCTATATAATTTTTCAATGATTTCTCTCCCAAATTATCAACTATCAACTTAATAAAGGTATGTTTTTCTCTAAGTTAGTGATGATATCTAGTTTATAGCTCGTTTGTTTAGTAAATTAATTTACAATTTGTAGAATGAAATCATCTAATGTTGATCATGTTTGGATAGATTTGTGTTTTGGAGGGTCATGGGAGAATGTTCATGGTGTTTTACAATATGTGTCTTTACCCATGAATCTTCAACTAAAACTGTCATTAAAAAAGTTAACTTATGAAACTCTAATGTTACGTGTTGCAAAGAAATTGAATTTAGAGCCTCTAAGTGGATTTAGGCTATCTTATCAGAGAAAATGTAAAGTTTATTTGTTAACCGACAATGAAGATGTTGAACGATTCATTGCTTACATTAGTGTTTCGCAAGAAGATGATGTTACATTGTATGTTGTTGAACCTAGAAGTAGTGAAGTTAGGTCAGTAGCGGGTAGTAATTAACTAAGTTCTTCAACCCAAAATTTAATGGTTCCACCACAATTTCATCACCAAGCAAATTTTGTTTCACCACATTTCCAATACCAAACACAATATCAAACAAAATATCAAAACCCACAACCTTTTCCTAATCCAAATCCCAATCAACTTTCAGCACCAAATTCTAGTTTTCGTATTGACCAGTTAGACGATTATAAGCCAATAGAAAAAATTGTGAGTACTAGTCAGTATTCAAAATTTGATCTTGGTCAATACCCGGACTTTGATCTTGGTCAATACTCAGATTTTGATGATGTGATGGAAGAAGAAACGGACCCTGCATGTAATGATTTTGATATTGGTCAATACCCGAATTTTGATGATGAAACAGTCGCTGCCGAGGAAGATGTTGTTGATGATAATGAGGAGGAAGTTACGACTGTAAATGAACATGTTGAACATCCATTCTATAATTCATATAACCCTAAAGAAGAAGAAGAAGAAGAAGAAGTCCCCGAAGAAAGGAAAAAGAAGAAAATACCACGGGGGTATAGCTGGAATATGCCAGAATTACTTCAGATACCGGAAGAAGAGTTGGTAAAGATAGCAGTTGATTGTTACACAAAAGTTATTCGTATCAAGAAAGATGATTGTTTTGATACAAAGAAAAACTTGAAGATAGCTTTGTATACGAAATGTGTGGAAGATGGCTATCAACTAAAAGTTAACAAATCAAGCAAAAATCGTTTCGAAACAAGGTGTATGATTGACAAAAACTGTATGTGGTGTATGATTGCAAAGAGGATAAAAGATTGTGAAATGTTTCAAGTTAGGACTTTTATTGATAAACATACATGTTCAAGAACCCAAGTTTTTTCTCACCATAGACAGGTAAACAAAAAGGTGTTGGGTGGTTTTCTGGCTGAGTTAATGTTTTTGAATAAAAGGGTATATCGGGGACATGAAATTATGACTGATATGAATGCTCGGTTCAAGATTAGTATCTCATATTCTCAATCTTGGAGAGCCAAATGTTATGCCTTGGAATTGTTGAGGGGGTCGCCAGAAGCATCGTTTGCCCAACTGTCGGCTTATTGTCACAATTTAAAGCTGAAAAATCCTGGGTCGGTAACCCATATCAAAAAAGATAGAGATGGACGCTTTGAGTTGATGTTTATCGCCATTGGTGCTGCGGTTAGTAAATAATTATAATTTTGTTGACTCATTTTTGTTAGTTGCATGCATTTCACATTTAAATGATTATATTTCTTGTGTATATGATTTTGTAGATTCGTTCGTTTATTACTTGCATGCGCCCAGTTATTATAGTTGACGGAGCACATTTGAAAGGTCGATACCTTGGAGTAAACTTATTAGCAGTAGCCATGGATGCTAACAATGTGATACTGCCAATAGTTTACGGGGTTGACAAATCTGAAACCTCTGATTCATGGACATGGTTTATGGGGCATCTTAGGGATTGCATAGGTCCTATTAGCAATCTGACAATCATATCCGATAGGGCAAACTCAATTGACAACGCTGTTAGAAGGTGTTTCCCAGATGCTTTTCATGGACTTTGTGGTGTTCATTTGTACAAAAATCTAAAATCAAGGTCCGCTGGTATAAAAATACAAATGGACATACTAGAAGACTGTAAAAGCTTATCGGGATGTGGATTTTAATAAGCATATAAATTGTTTAAGACGTGTTTTGCCTCAATGTGCTCAAACACTAGAAGATGTCGGGTTTGAAAGATGGTCAAGAGTACATCAACTTGGAGCAAGATATGGTTTCATGATGTCTAATAGTGCAGAATCAATCAACGCTCTAAGTCGTCATTCCCGGAAATTACCCATTACTATATTAATGGAGTTTTTTCGAGCCTCTATTCAACAGTGGTACTACAAGAAAAGAAACCATGCATGTATTATTTCTTTAAATTCGTAACTTATCATATATTTTACTAAGTATTATTTATTTAAATTACAGGAACATTGGAACGTCGTGTTACACCATGGACTGAAAAAAAGATAACAAAACGTGTTGTGAAGTCAACGTCATGGAGAGTTGAACCATGTTCAAACACTTTGTTTGAAGTATTGGATAATAACTTAAATGGGCTTGTCGATCTAAATGCAAAGACATGTAGTTGTAAGAAATGGAAAACATCTGGTTATCCGTGTGGCCATGTTATAAAAGTTGTTCTTCATCTAAACCAAGATGATTCAATCGCATACGCTATGGATTGCTACACTATAGAAGTATATCGACAGACTTATGCCAAGATTGTCTACCCATGTCCACATTCTTCTGAGTGGAACATACCAGATGACTTACAAACAGTTTTGCCACCAGTCATGTACAGCAGGCTACCTGGCCGACCAAAAAATCACGATCGTATACCGTCTAAGGGTGAAGAGAAGAGGATATCGACATGTAGTCGGTGCAAGGAAAGTGGTTATACAAGGTTGACCTGTGGATCACCAGTGCCATCACAATTATCTTTTCCTCTACCAAAAAATGGATCCTCATCAAAATTCAAAGCTTATATGGTGCCAAGCAAAAGGAAATCAAAATCGCAATCAAAATCAAAATCAAAATCCCAATCACAACCGGCTTCACCTTTTGGGACTTATTAACTTAGGTGATTTTTAAATGCAAACGTTGTATTATGTGTATTTTATGTGTGAATGCATACATTTTCAGTTAGACATTCATTAGTAACTTGAGTTTGAATATTGCTATGATCTGTTCGGTTGTTATCATGTTGAGATTTTCTCTTATGTTTGATTGCTTGGATAGTTGTTCTCTTGCTTCTTCAAGTGTCCTTAGCTTGTACTTATAGTTTGGAATGTGTTTGATGTTGTATATAACTTGATGTTATATGTTGCGATCAACGCGAAAGTCAAATTCGCAACGCGAAATAAGCGTTGCGATAGTCAAATTCGCAATGTGAAAGTCAAATTCGCAACGCGAAATCGCAAACCGAATTTGACTTTCGCATTGCGAATTTGACTTTCGCGTTGCGAATTTGACTATCGCAACGCTTATTTCGCGTTGCGAATTTGACAATCGCGTTGTACATTATTTGAGCATTGTTATGGGTACATTATTTGGAAAATATTGTTTCGAACTTCGTTAGAAATAACCCTTTTTCATCTGATTAATTTCATTTTTGTGGGTACATTATTTGAACATTGTTATGTATAAATTTGTTGTGTA